AGGGTGCAGTCAAAGTGCCACAAAGAAGAGGGAGTCAAGCTATTCTCCAAAACATCTGAGGGCAGGACAAGAAGCAATGGGTGGAAACTAAACAAGTAGAGAAGCAACTTAGAACTAAGGAGAAATTTCCTGACAGTTAGAACAATTAATCAGTGGAACAACTTGCCTCCAGAAGTTGTGAATGCTCCAACACTGGAAGTTTTTTAAGAAGATGTTGCATAACCATTTGTCTGAAGTGGTGTAGGATTTCCTGCCTGTGCAGGGGGTTGAACTAGAAAACCTCCAAGGCCCCTTCCAACTTATTCTATTCTATTTTAATAAGTAAAGCATATTCCCTGAAAAATGTTTTGAAAGGGAAAATGTTCTGTTAAAAAACTTCAAAAATAATATCCTTTTCATATTTAGGTTCTCCTAATAGGAAAATCCATAAACTTCTTACATCAAGTTTGTCATGACCAAAGTCCAACATCAAAGATGCTAGCTGTGCCCAGATCTGCAGAATCTCCAAAAGATGGTATGGAATTAGAATATATTTATAATAAGTTGTTTGTTAATTTTTGCCATACAGAAGTTTGCCTTAGACTTACATAGGAACTCAGCAGTAGCTTTGTTTTTTACTTCATTATTTGGCAGTTTATCATTATCTGAAATAATAATATGGTGTAAAAAGTTCAAGAGCAAACATTTTCTGACTTGTATGGCACTGCATTTCTTTAGGAGATGCAGAAATACCTGAATAGTGGATTGTGTGATTCTAAATATATAGTGTGCCATCATATATAATGTGCTTAAATATAATGGTGTTGCTAGGTTGTTATTTTCTTATTTCAGGAGTTTAAATAACAAAAGCCATAATCTTGTTGAGCATTTTAGCTTATATACAAAATGGCTTCAAATCATTGTCAGTTAAATCTGATTTGAATTATGTATTTGATTAACAAAATCAGGTTAGTTCGTGCCTTGAATCAAATTGTCAAATAAGACAACAGTCAAGTTTGGAATGCTGATTTGAACTGGGAAAGTGGCTTTTATATATTTTGTGTGTGAGTGTGTTGTGTGTGTATATATATATAATGTAAATAATTGAATTGGTCTAAAGGTACATATTTTGGAAAGCTAATTTGAAGATATGATCAAATTCATAGCCTTGAATTTCTGATTGAAAACTTCATATAATTCTAATTTAAATTCTTGAAAGCAGCTGCACTTTTACTTGAGATCACCCAGCAACTGCTACTGCATATTCATTTATTTGTGCGCTTTTGGGGAATTTCAAAGCACCATACTATATTAATTTACATCTCATCATACTCATATCAGAAGCACCAAGGTGCTTCCAGGATGACAGCATTAGCTGGTAACATCACTGTTGCCCGGCGGTGGGTGGCACACACTCAGTTGGAGGCTCCTTTCATAATTCTCATAACCTTCTTAAAATTGATTAGAACAGTAGGTAATTCAGTCATTGCAGCAAAATGATCCAACTCGTATGTTCTGTTTAAGCACCTATTTTGTCTGTTGGTTTTAACAGTGAGCCTGTGAGCTGGGATTTCAGGTCCTTCTTAAGTTTATGTAACATTTTTGTAGGTAAAGGCAATTTTCACGAAAGCTTCACATATTGGTCAGTGCCATAGACTAGCCAAGGTGTAACTTGGACATGAAAAACAAGGCAAATTCTATTATGTGTAGATAAGACCCCAGCAATACGGTGCCTTAGGTTAATAAGAGTCATGGTGGCACAGTGGTTAGAGTGCAGTACTGCAGACTACTTCTGCTGACTGCTGATTGCCAGCAGTCTGGCAGTTCAAGTCCCATCCGCTCAAGGTTGACTCAGCCTTCCACCCTTCTGAGGTTGGTAAAATGAGGAGCCAGATTGTTGGGGGCAATATGCTCACTTTGTAAACCTCTTAGAGATGGCTGTAAAAACACTGTGAAGCAGTATATAAGTGCTATTCCTAATGCTATTTCTAATAAAAAGCTGACTACCTGCTATCTCCACCCTTTGCATCATACACTATACAAGGAGAAACCCCAGTCTCTATATTTAGACTTTCAATGATGAAGCACATCTAGCATTGCCAGTTAAGCCACCCTCTTTTCTACAGATGGAATAGATTGCTTTTCAACTTTTTAGCCTTCATCCATCCTTCCAGAGAATTTCCTGGGATTAGCTTAGGATTCATGGTTTGGTACAAAAGAATAGAGCGAACATGCTTAGCACACTCACACAATGTCAACTTCATGATGTGAAATAAGAATCCCTGCTACCTCTAGAAAATTTACCATAATGCCATTAAACAAGCAAGTATTTAATATTCTATTCACCATCAAATTATTTGAGTGTATCTGAAAACCATTCATTTTATAGAATTCAAGTCGAATAATTATACATAGTGCAAGAGTTGATAAGTTGTGCTTGTTTTGCAATCTTGGTAACTTCTTCTTTTTCTATAACAGCTGCTGAAATGTTCACAGATTTGGAAAATGCATTTCAGGGAAAAATAGATGCTGCATATTTTGAGACCAGCAAATACTTGCTAGACGTGCTCCATAAGAAGTACAATTTACTGGAGCATATGCAAGCCATGAGACGCTATTTGCTCCTTGGTCAAGGAGATTTTATAAGACATTTAATGGACTTATTAAAGTAAGTAGATTTTAGAGGAATGACTCTGTTGATCTGTGATTGCAAAAATTGTCATTTGTCACCTTAAAATTTAATGCATGATGCTTTTATGAGATAATTCTTTGTGGGATGTATAGAGTATTATTTTGTAAAGGATTATTATTTTCCTTATAAAATGGGAGAGGAATTTATCAATATGGGAATGTTCTGCACAAAAAAGAACCTTTGAAAACTCTGGTATGAAACATTTTAAGTTTGTGTGTGATTGTGTGTGTGTTTGTATGTGTATATATATATATATATATGTATGTGTGTGTAATATATATATATATATATATATATATATATATATATATATATA